GAATGGGGTGTAACTTAGTTAGGTAACCAAGGAGACCGTCTAGTGGTAGGACGTAACTAAGCTGCTAGCTGTAGGAATTCGACAGTTCAGGGTCGGGGGTCGTTCAGGGTCGGTTTTTCAGGGTCTAGGCGCGCCCACCCCCGCTGTTGTTTCGGGCGAGAAACGGTCTCCCTACTGGCACTCCAACCCGAGCCCGAAAAGTCTACGTAATTCATTGCCGCCGCCATCCCATGCCATTGGACCATACCCCTGAAACAATAGCATGGGAAGCCGGCAATGAATTGCATGGCAACCTGCCCGACCGAGGTGCGACAGCTGTAGTTTCAGCAGCATTTTTGGTTGTCAAGTGCAACAACACAACTTATTCTGCAGAAATGGTAGCCCGAAAGTAGGCTCTCGGAACGTATCAACCAACACTTCCCTGACATGTAAGGAAGAGTGGCTGGAGCCAGTGGTTTGCTGGACAACAAGCAGAAGAGTCGCTCGTGGAAACTTGGCTGCAGGAGCGTGTCTGAAGTCGTGCATGTGAATAGATTGACGTGTATACGCTTGTCGAACCAAGCGCCCAGGTGAATCGACGGCGCAGACAATGACGCTCTGCTGCAAGAATCTGTAACAAGCATACGCATGTGCCCCGAATACGGACAACAGAATATGGGGGTGCAGTGAATCGCATGGCAACCCACCCAGCCAAGGTGACATGGCTGCAGCTTCGTCAGGTGCCTTCTCTAAGATGCCAGTTTATGCCAGTGGGGAAAAGAAAAGATGATGGGGACACTGCTTGCGATTAAGGATTTGTTGAGCGCGCAAAACAACAAGAATGTGCATTTGAAAGTATTTTTGGGCATTGCACCTTGTATTCCGCAGCCGCATCTTGCAGCTTCAAAGTTTGCATCTCCTTTCCTCCAGAGCACCCAAAAGATGGACGGCCGCCGTCTTGAGTGGAGCCGGTGTTTGGAAGGCGGTCCTGGCTCGTGGTCATTGATTGACTCGGACGGCACGGCCTTTACCGCTGAAGCAGCTCCTCGATGGCATCTGCTTCTCTTTTCCACCGATTTCGTGGAGAGGCTGCTGCACTGCCGATTCGTCCAGTGGCATCCAGAAGATGCCCAGGTTGCCGTGTTCGAAGCTGAAGAGCTGGACTATGATGCTTGGGTCAGTTATCCTGCCGGGAAGGTCTACGTCCGCGAAGTGCCCTCACCCTTTGTTGTCACCTGCAGCTTGACACCAGTGGCGCACAATGTTGTTGACGCGGTGTTCACCACGGTGGCCGGCGGGGAGCTGCTACGCATCGCCGGCGTGTCAAACCTTTTGCCGGNNTCAGCAGCGGCAGCCCAAGGCCGTCTGCAGAGCCGCAACCAAGCAGTGTGCACGGCGTTAGACGGACAAGTGGTCACAGTGGTCCTTTCCCATGACATGTGGGACATGATGACAGCGCAGGACGCCCAAGGCATTGGGTGTACGGGTTAGTGCGGTGGCGAAACTGAGGGATGCTTCCACGTGTGCGTAGCGTAGATAAGCTGAGTGACTGTCAGCTTTGGACCCACCGCGTGTGCAAAGAAGCTGCCCAGAAGAAGCTGCCAGAAAAGGTGCAGACACGGGCAGTACTTGGCAAGAACCGCAACTAGAATCCGTAGCCACACGATGGCATCACCATGAAGCAACCAAAAACTTCTGCAGCCATTTCCATGCTCAAGAGCGACATTTCACCCAACCAGCATTCTCGTCAGTGACAAGGCCAGCGGTCTGTCTAATAAGTTAGAAGTGTAGGCAATCCTTGCGCACAAGCCTTGCCAGGATGACATCCACTAGCAGCCGCCGTTGGGCCGATATGGAAGATGATGGTGAGGCCAGACGTACTGCATGTCAGTGGAATATTGTCACACATGCGGCCCCTCTTGGGTGACTGAAGGCAACCGAATGGGACTTTGAGGCCTTCAAGAAAGACTATCTGGCAACGAGGTGCTGTCTAACACTACTCACCCCTGCACGTGCCTCAGCCCATGCATTCGCGCGCAGTTCCAAGATATACGTGCCACAAAAAAATGCCTCCTCAGGCAGGAGTCGTCAAAATCGATGAGGCTCCATGCAAGTAGTTTGCAGTCTGTTTCCAGCATGGCACGTGTGCAATCCACCCTGCCCCGCACAAGGCTTGGAAAACTTGGCCATCGACGCCAGGACTTCAAGCGTGCAGGACGTCCTCACGTCCTGGCAGGCGGCACAGGCCTCGACGGGTCAAGGCTCCACTGTAGATTGTCCAAATGCGCACGTGCGACCAATGCGACTGTGACATCGTACCAGCTTGACGCGCAGGCAGCTGCGACAAAGGGGGCGGCTCGCACCTGGACCGCAAATGACGAGGAGGCGCTGGACGCCGCCTTCCAGCGAGCCAAGGCAGATTGCCCAGCCCGTTCTCTCTTGAGCAGCGCCTGCAGTGCAGGAGGAAAGGGCGAGATCTGCTGCTGCCGAGACTCCTTGTCCGCCGCGTCTCATCACACAGCGCAAGCCCAGTGGGAGCCTCAGGTGGCAAGGTTAGCGCATTTAGCGTGCGCGCCCTTTGAGTTATTGTCACTGGCAGACAGGTCGCCAAGGTTCATGCGAGCGCAAGCTTTCCAATACCGCGCCACAGGCCTTCGGAATCATCAAGGCCTGTCTCGCCGTCC